TCAGTTCCTGCTGCCCTTAGTGACTTCTTCTCTCTCGTGCTCACTGCCCTCACTTTCCTAAACCTTCTCATTCGTTTTGGCAGCATGCAACGTCTTTCCTTTGTTGTTTTCCTGCTGTCCAACTGCCCTAATCAACAACTTTCTGCTGTTTGGACTGTCACCCTGTGTTGTCCTGTTGATCTAGCTGCTTCTAATTGCGGCCACTCCTCAACCACAGTTTGGAAACCCCTTCCCTACCTTGCCACCACCTCTTCGAGCCCCCTAACTGTCACCTTTATCACCTGAGATCTTCCCTAACACGAGTTGCCCATTCAAGTGCGTTGATTATAATCGTCTATTTGGGTCTGGTAATAATATTTGTTTTTTTAATGTGATTTGTGTTAACTCTAGTATGAGATATGTTTTTGCTTATATAAATATGAATTTTCTTCTCATTATTTGCTTGGTTTTTGTATTATTCATGTACGCTTATTTAGAAACACCTATTTTTAACAACAACAACAACAACAAACATTTATCCTACTATGTGGGGTCGGCTACATGAATTTTTTCTCCATTTTGCCTTATTGAGTGTTATATTTTCATTTAATTCTAATAAATTAAGATCATTTTTTATACAATATGCCAAAGTTTTTATAGGTCTACCTCTACCTTTCTTAACATAAGTCGAGTCTAAAAGATCTACTCTCCTAACCAGATCATCAGATGGTCGACGTTTCATGTGACCAAACAATCTATGACGACCGTCTCAAATTTTGTCTACCACTAGAGCAACACCAATCCTATTACTGATATATTCATTTCGTATTTTGTCTCAAAGTGTTGAGCCACTCATCCACCTAAGCATCCTCATCTCGGCAATACTCAACTTTGTTTTATGTTTCTCTTTTAAATGCCAACATTCTGCGCCATAGAGCATTGGAAGTCTCACCATCATCTTATAAAATTTTTCTTTTAGTCTAAGCAATACTTTTCTATCACACAAAAAACAATCATCTACTTTAACCAACGAACTTGAATTCTACTAATAACATCCCCATCTATATCACCATCACTTTGAACAATAGACTGGAGACATCTAAAGCGGTTACACCTTTTAATGATTTGATCACCCATACGTACAACTCTGTTACTAGAGCTACTACTACTAAAAATTACTTTCCATGTATTCAGTTTTAGTTCTACTCAAATGAAGACATTTAGACTCCAAATTTAGACTCCAATGTAGGACATTTAGACTCCAATGTAGACCTTCATAATTCAAATTTTTTCTGAACTCTTTCTCTAGTTTTATACACAAAAAGGATATCATCAGCGAAAAACATACACCAAGCCATATCCTCCTGTAAATGTCCAATAAGAGCATCCATAACTAAACCAAAAAAATATGGGCTTAAAGCCGATCCCTGATGTAATACAATTGAAATAGTAAAATATTTGGTCAATCCTCTTCTTATTAGAGCACAAGTAACATCTCTAGTATACATATCTTTAATGACTTTAATATAAATTACATGAACACCTTTTTTTTATCTAGAAATCTCCAAAGGATTTCTCTTGGAATCTTATCGTAAGCTTTTTCTAAATCAGTAAAAATAATATGTCGATCTTCCTTATTCTCTCTGTACTCCTTCAAAACTATTAATAAATGTATAACTTACATAGTAGACTTGCCCAACATAAGTTCAAACTTAATTCCTCTATATTTGCACACTCGTGTGCATCCCCTTTATTCTTAAAATGGGGACCAAAATACTCTTCCTCCACTCCTCAGACATCTTGTTAGTTTTTTAAAATAATATTAAAGAGTTTAGTAAGCCAAAAACTCTCAAATCTACTAAATATTTTCACACTTCAATTGAGATATCATTAGGTCCTACTGATTTTCTATCTTTGGTTTTCTTTAAAGTCTCTTCAACTTCTTTTTTATTAACGTAACGGTAATTATAAAATAAATTATTATTATTAATGATATTAAGATCACCAAGGTCGATCGTATCTTCAGAAGTTTCATTTAAAAGTTTATGAAAATAACTCACCCACCTATGTTGAATATTTTTTTCTAAAAAATTAATTTTTTGTTTTCATCTTTAATTCACTTTACTTGAGTTGAATCATTGCTATTCTTTTCTCTTTGTTTGACTAGTTTATACATATATTTTTTACCCTCCTTATCATCTAATCTTTTATAAAGATTACTAAAAATAGCATATTTAACATCACAAATTGCTATTTTAGCCTTCTTTCGGGCCACCTTATATTTTTTCTCAGGCCTCTAAGTTTTTACATTTAAACCATTTTTATTTATAGAAACTTTTCCTTTCTTATTGATAAAAAAATACCACAACTCTTTCTTATTGATATATTATTAAGACAATATTTTGATGCGAATGAGTATAGTTCCCATTCTTCATGAAGTAAATTAATTCGATTCTTCTCTGATTTGTATTTTTTCCAAATGATGCCATGGCATCATAAATCCCTCTTAATGATTACAAAACCTTATTTAGTCAACATCATTGTCAAGTTTAATTGTATGAATATCTCTTTTTGTTGCGGTACGTTTATTTTATTGTTTTTTTCACACAACAAACTTCAATATTTTGACTCGACTTGCCTTAATAGCCATGCAATTGTTAAGTTTTTTCAGTGTTAGTTATCCAAGTACACTGTCTCTCTTTGGTTAATATTCTAGAGATTTTAAGTGCCTCACCTATCATGTTTCAAGATTTAGCTTAGTGGGTCACATTTATTATTCCACTTACTGTTAGGTGTAATATTTCCCTTGTTTACAGATATTTTACTCTTAAGTCCTTTATTTCTTTTGCAAATTAATTTTGAGAACCAAGAATATTTTAATTTGTGAGGTGAATGGGTCCAAAAATTTACTTCAGTACCGTCGTTTACAGTCAAACCAAACATTTGGCAAAAGCAAAACAAACATTATATTTTTTTCAAATTTATCTCAGATATGTATCTATTCTGGAAGCTGTGTATCTCGGTCAATGGCTTTCTCTACGTACCCAATATTGCAAATTTATTTTGGTTTTTGCCTTTTTACTGCAGCTGCATTAATTATTATCTTGAACATTGCTGGGAGAAATTAGGCTACTCTCCAGTTTTTCAGCCAATTTCCACATCCAATCCCACTTTGTCTACCGCTCTGAATGGGTCCTCTTATGTATCAATTACTATTTCTCAGGAAGGCTCATGTCAACTACTATTTCTCAGGATGACTATAGTCAACTATTTTAACTGTCACAAACATCAACAGTTACCTCACTTGTTGTATTGCTGTTTGGATCTGCTACTTTTTCAACTGATTCAAAGGTTTTGGGGTGTCTGAACTTGACCAATTTGGTGTTCAACAGTCATGGATTCGTCTCCATGAGCTGATTCCTATAGTGGTTTTTATCAGATTGATTCCTAATTTAATCTTTTTGAATTGCTTTGAGATTTATGTTTTGCATGAAAATTAATCTTTACCAAATAGGGTGATTTTGATCCCACTGGTGATCAGTGATCACCATCATAGGTATAGTCAACTATTTTAACTGTCACAAACATCAACAGTTACCCAACTTGTTGTATTGCTGTTTGGATCTGCTACTTTTTCAACTGATTCAAAGGTTTTGGGGTGTCTGAGGGTTTTGGGGTATCTGAACTTGACAAATTTGGTGTTCAACAGTCATGGATTCGTCTCCACGAGCTGATTCCTATAGTGGTTTTTATCAGATTAGTTAATCTAAGAAAATTGATTCCTAATTTAATCTTTTTGAATTGCTTTGAGATTTATGTTTTGCATGAAAATTAATCTTTACCAAATAGGGTGATTTTGATCCCACTGGTGATCAGTGATCACCATCATAGGTATAGTCAACTATTTTAACTGTCACAAACATCAACAGTTACCCACTTGTTGTATTGCTGTTTGGATCTGCTACTTTTTCAACTGATTCAAGGGTTTTGGGGTATCTGAACTTGACAAATTTGGTGTTCAACAGTCATGGATTCGTCTCCACGAGCTGATTCCTATAGTGGTTTTTATCAGATTAGTTAATCTAAGAAAATTGATTCCTAATTTAATCTTTTTGAATTGCTTTGAGATTTATGTTTTGCATGAAAATTAATCTTTACCAAATAGGGTGATTTTGATCCCACTGGTGATCGGTGATCACCATCATAGGCACGTTTACACTGAGGTATACTAATATAAAATCAAAACTATGAAATTAAAACAACTAAAGCGGAAAAACTGCTCATCTCCATTCACACATTTTACATTTCTGGCGAGTTTAAACTTTTAGAGTTCCATTGAGAAGCTTAAGCGTTTCACAATTCTGTGTTTCCTGTAAATTTAGTTTTAACTTTATCTGCTTAGTTATAATTATGCCTATTTCCATTTTTCCGGAAAACATGAGCGTGTGGGCATATTTATTCACTGTATCTTGACTTTGTGAAGGTGATGAATTAAAGTAGAAGTGTTTATGATGAACCGCTACCTCTATGTAGATGTATAATTATTTTTTGGAAGATTTACATTTACATCACAAAATTCTTATCTATTTACATTTCTAACTCCTGAACTTCAATTTATACATACAAACCGCCTTCCTATGCATGAGAAAGTGTATTTCATTTTTGAAAAGATAACATGGTGGTATTTTTCATGTGATAGGGGAGACTGCATCATCCACTAAAACCTAGTTGGATGGTAAATATTGCAATTCATCTTTTATTGGCGCAATCATTCACCTTTTTTTTATGTACTGTTGATTATGTTCTAATTTCAACACTGCCTGCCTATTGAGAAATTGATTCTATCGAATGTATTTTAACTCTTTGGATATTACTTTGTGAAGCATATTTCCATGATTAATGATTTGTATCTGAAAATTTAAGGAATCTTTTATGATGGGGACATGTTACATGCAAATTTGGCTCAAAATCTTTTATTTTGTTTGTTTGCTATTTTTAATGAATTGACTAATTTTTTGCAGCTGATGTGGTGGCAAGTTTCAGATTACAAAAACCCTTTTCCTTGCTGAATTCAACGGTTGCTAAGCTTCAATATGATATCTTTAATGAGATTGGCGTTCCAAATACCTCTGTATGTATCTATTACCTTCTTCCTTTATTTTATGACCTTGTTTACTTATTTTAACCTTGCTCATATTTTAGGTAGCTATTATTTACCTGGATCCTGTAGGAATAAACACAACCAATGTTGTGTTTGGCGTGTGGCCTTATCCAAAGAATTCAAATATATCAACCGGGCTCAGCATTCTCAAGTCTTCTCTTGTGTCGTTGGTTCTACAACAATCTACCCTTCATTTGACGACAAACTTGTTCGGAAGCTCATATTTTTTTCAGATTTTAGAATTTCCCGGAGGAATTACTATAGTACCACCGCAATTTGCTTTCCTTCTACAGAAAGAGCATATGCTTTTCAACTTTACTTTGAATTTTCCAATCTATGAAGTCCAAGACAAAGTTGATGAACTGAAGGACCAGATGAAGTTTGGTTTAGGTCTAAAATCTTATGAGGTTTGTCTGATTAATTTATTTACCATTCATTTTCGCTAATGTTATTTTCTCTTTACTCTTATTGCCTGTATAATTCAATATTGTTTGATAAGCTTGCCTCACTTATAGGATTTAATATTAGCGGTATAGATGTTGTCGTTGCCTTTACCGAAATATATTCTCACCTTTTTGAGCTTTAATTTTATCGAGCAAAACTCTAGCATTCTTATTTTTGTTTCTACCGTATATGTATAAGGGTTTTATTCTCCATTAATAAGACTGCTTCATGTTTATGAGGCTTATCTGGAATTAGCAAGACAGCTCTGGTCTTGTTGCCATGAACTGAAACTTCTTACATCTCTATCTAAACTCTGGAAATTCAGTGGTAGTCTACCTATGTTTTTTTACTTTTATTTGCAAGATTATCTTAAACCAATTTCTTTTATCTATTCATGATCAATATTTATGTTTTTTTTAGTTTTATTTGCAAGTTATAATTTTCTTATCACTTTGTTATATGTGCAGATTTTGTTTGTCAAATTGACAAATACAAAGGGTTCTACCGTGGCTCCACCTACAGTTGTTGAGACATCCATTGTGCTTGCAGTAGGGAATAATCAACCATCTATGCCAAGATTGAAGCAGTTGGCTGAAACTATCAGAAATTCCTCTGCAGGAAATCTTGGTCTTAATCACACTTTATTTGGCAGAGTTAAGCAGATTCGTCTCTCCTCATTCCTTCAACATTCTTTAAATAGTGGGGTTGGTTCTATCTTATCTCCTAGTCCAGCTCCTCAACCTCATATAGGTGCTCGTCACCATAATCCTGGCACTCAGCGCCATCGTCACTCCAATATTCACGATCATGGGGGCCATTCTGATGTGCATGTTGCACCTGCACCTTCCCCAAAACCCTTATTTACCCATCTTGCTCCAACCCCTTCTGGTTGTAATCTTGGATTTTCAAACAACCCCAAGAGAAAACCTGAGATTGTTCCTGTAGCAGCTCCTGCAGCCACACATCATCTACTTGCTCCTTCACCAAATGAAGTTGTGCCTGCACCTTCACCACATTTGCATCGAAAGTCACATTTGCCACATGTCGTTTTTTCTCATGCAAAACCTCCAAGTGAAAGTGTAAACCATGCCAAACCTCAGGATGGGGCTCCATTTATTTCGGCTTCACCATCTTCTTGTGAGTATTTCCTTCTAAAATTTTGTTTTAACGAAGTAATTTTGTTAGTAAATATCAGAAATATTTTTTTGTTATAACATAATTGTTATGGTTATGTTAGTCTGCTAATGAAGAAAAACGCGGAGTAAAGATGGGGTTCGTCTTTCCAACTTTAGATATGTGGACTAAATTGACCATTTTAAATGATTGATTAAGTTTAGAACAGAAGCTACCATCATGTGTGATTTATGTGCTATTCTGTTGGTTTGTCTTCGCGCAACTAAAATTTGGAAGCTTGTAGCAAAGTGCCGAACACCTGAACAAAGTATGTGCTTCATGAATTTGGTTTAGTTAATATTTATAGTATTTGAATGGTTTAGGACGATGCTAATTTGATGACTTTGCGAATTCACATGTATATATTAAAATATCGAAACGAAGGAATTAAATTAGGCATGTGAATATGTATATCTGAAAATGTGTTTGGCACAGTTGACAGTAGAAACCTGATTAATGTTATAGATATCAGAGGTCAAAGCCTGACATCATCTAAGAATTTTTGTTAGGAAATTGCTATATCACCAAAGCTAGCGCCTGAAATAAGTCATGAAGGCTGTTGAATGGATGACTAGTGCTGTGAAAGTTAAGCTCGAAATCAGATCAAATGTAGATATTTTGGCTCAAAATTGGATCATGGATTGATTTATTTGATCTTGAGCCAAAATGGATTGAAATTGAGTCGTTTTCAATCATGCTTGTATTGGTAATGAGCAAGATCGAATGGTGAATTTGACTAAAATCCTGATTGATCCAGCTCAAAATTAAGACTGATTTGGCTCGCCAACCATATTGACCAGAAACACCGAATGTACACGAGCGAAAACAAAATTCTGCTTGTATTTAAATAGTTTAAAAGTCACAAAGATAGAGATAGACAGACACAGACAACAATGTGACCTAGCCGAAAGCCTTTATGGGATATGAATTCTGAGAATATTAGCACAAGAGAAGGTAGCGGTAATTTATCCGTTACCCAGTCCTATTGAACTGTGAATGCAAGGAGCCCCACCCTCAATCACAAAACTACCAGAGATAGAGTAAGCAAAAGGGATGTAAAGCACTAGATGGTTCGCACATGTAAGTAGCAAGTGAAAAGTGGGAACTTGCAACAGATAACATCAAGTTGGCACCCGTTCAGAAGCGGCAGAGTCAAAGCCGGAGGCATGCGACGATGACTGATTAGGGATTTTTAAACTAGGGTGAGAGTCGAGTGATGGAGAAAGATGGAAGCGAGATAGTTGTAAAGAATTTTAGAAATAGGATTACGGCTCTGGGCAATTGGGGTGTGATGGGCATTCGGTTTAGAGTTAACGCAAACACCACCTATGGTTGATTTACACAATTGGATCCATATATCAAATCCGGGAATCACGATACATATAAAGTTTATATTGGTTGGCATCTGCGAGTCAGTTGTAAGTCCTCTGAGGCCGAGTGTTCGAATCCTCCTCTGACGACGGCCGTTTTATGGAGAGTGGTACTCGAATTGTTAGGCACATTAGGGGTGGTTGGGGGCTCGTATAATAGCCTCTGGCCATTCCTTAATATATATATATATATTTATATATATGAAATTGGCTCGAAATAAGTTAGATTTTTGTATTTGGCTCATATCTCAGCTCATTCATTTCTAGCCAATTTCGATCTGAGCTAAAATTCGATTCAATTTATGAGCAATTTTTTAACTTCGAGCCATTTTGACGGCCCTATGGTTGAAACATGTCATGTGTACGTTGCATGTCATCAATTCAGAGGTCTTGACACGTCTTTTGGCCTCTATTTTATCATTGTATCATTAATCTTTACATAATATACTACAAAAGTTGATACAAAAATTAAATAAGCAAATTAGTGTATTCAAGGTCAAATGATTTTACATTTCTATCAATAATCTGTTTAATAAATAAATAAACAAAAAATACAATATGTGGTGTTTTAATTTTATTAAAATAGTAAAAGACATTTATTATTTTAGTTTATCTGATAAACGTATAAAAATCTATGGGTAATTGTGATACTTATGATTATACATCGTTAAGCAATCTTGAGAGTTTAGGAAAATTGGAAATCTTAGGCTGTTAATGTCTAAATGACATTTGTCTTCTTTTTCATTTAATTTTGATAGATTTATGCACATGATTAATTTTTAGAAATGCATTGCTGATAACTATTGCTATGTAAAAGGCACTATAAAAGAATGCATTTTCTTGCTTAACGTTTGTTTATTTTAGGAGCAGGCACCAGTTAAATCAATGATCATAGATGATTGTCGTCAAACTAATTTAACATATAAGTTTAAGAAGGTTTTTAGAATTAGAACTGACTGAAATATTTCTATAGGTATTTTGAAACTGGTACAATGTTAAAATAATGAGAAGTGCTCGATAGATTAAATATAGTAAAAGCAAAGATGTTTAACTCACTACTTGTAAGTTACTTCAAGCTTTTTAAAGAATAATTGACAAAGGCAATGAGTCGAAAACCCATATTACTGAATTCTCCTATGCATCAACATTGGTTTTTATTTTATTTTATTTATCTATTTATTTATTTTTATGTATTCAATGATTTGTAGAATGCTAGGCATTGGCGTTAGTGGGAGCTATCGGTCAATGTATGTCAAATCTTGAAAATAAATGTTGGGATGCGGTAAAGTGATTCATGTGCTAAGTAAAAGTTATAATTAATTACACATTAAGATAAAAAAAAATTACTTGATACGGTAGGGATAGGTTGGAGGTCTGGGAGGACACCTAGATACACAAATAAGTATTGTGGAGACATTTACATATAGGGCCTGTCTTATGTTTGTAGTGTCTATTTTCTGTTTGGAGAGTCGTTGTAATCGATTTGAATTTCAGCAATAATATTTTTGTCTTTATAGTGGTTTGAGTTAACTCCGGTATCGAGGTGCAATATAGTGAGGTGTTGGGACAATGATTTTAAGTACATAATGAAATTCTATTTTCAAATGTTTAGATGTGGAGATTGCCATATGACCATCTACCTAACTCGTGAGTTTATTACATATAATCATTTATATGGCCTTTATAATTATGTTATCTCCACCTTCTACTTAACTTTTATAAGCTAGCTACCTAACACTTTCAAAGCATTATATAAGAAGATGGTTGCATCATTTCATGGTGTTCATATGTATCTCATAACATAAGCAAATAATGAGGAGGGAATAGAGAGGAGAGGGGGCGCTAACTGAAAGACACGGGAAGAGTATTTAAGTTCTTATATTAAGAAGATCTTCTAATTCTTCAAGAAGGAGGCTCTGCTAGTTTCATTTTCATCGAAGGAGTTTTTGACAAGTAGCAATAATAACTTCTCTGCCACATACATTCCTCTTCTTCATAAGTTGCTACACACTCTCTAAGTTGGTGACAAACTAAGTGGTATCTTTATTTTTATCCATATATTCCTCTTCAAAATTTAATTCTTATTTGATCTGAATGTGATCGTGAATGCAAAGTAGTCTAACAAACTTCAAACCTTTTATGCTTATTCCTGTATTTGCCGTATTTGATTTCTTGTCTTTATACGTTTTGCTTGTTACTGTTAACATTTCTTTGTTTCGATGTGTTGCTTGATTTTTCGTTTGTTTGGCAAAGTCTTTTTTTGATTCTTTTAACTTCTGTATATCTGGTTAATTAGGTTTGCGCATTTTTAATTTTATTCAAATCTATTGCAATTTGGCTCTCAATTATGGTGTTCATTTCAGTCGACTTGTTGATTTTTGGTATTTGAATTTCTTATTGATTTCTTAGATTTAATTGATCATTAAATTATTATTTGGTGTGGATTCATATTTTCTTAATTGCATCAGGAGTCATGGAATTTTAACTGCCCCTATTAACCGGCGACTACGGTGAATTGAAGGCGGCGGTGGTGTCTGTTGGGGGTCCTGAAAGGAGGTGGCAAGGTGCAAAAGTAATGTGAGCGAGCGGGAATAGCAACTGAACAGTAAGTCCTTACTCTCCTGGGCAGCGGCAGCAAGAGGTCGGGGGATGGACAACAAGAAAAACAGGGTTGAGGGGGTTTGGTGTGACAAAAATGAAGCGGGTGGGCCACACAGTAAGACAACAGTAATACCTTTGCCATCCCTAGGCGGCAGCAAGGTAGAACTCTGTGGCAGCATGTTGGCAGGGAGGAGTGCATGGTTTGGACGGAACTGCAGTTGATAGCAAACAAGCGCTGTCTGTAGCAATGAAGGGGTAGTTGGGGAGAGCTGGGCGGGCTGGCTGGGAAATACGGCTGTGGAGATTGATGGCTGTGGGATAACAATAAGGAGTGCTGTCTAGGGGCGGCTGCGGTAGGGAGGGACGATTGGGAGTGATGTGTGAGGGAGGTGGAAGGATTGCGGAAGGATAAATCATCACATCGGGTGTGAGATACAGCCGAAGCACCACTTGACCCTTGGATACATCCTAGAAGGGAAAAGTAGAAACGTTGCGGCTGTCTCGAATAACACCAGTACAAAAATTGAGTCTCAAACAACCAAAGCTCCAAATATATAGAAGCACCCTCATAGTAATAACGTAATTAAGAAAATAAAGAAAAAGGAAAGGAAACACTAAAGGAAAAAAAACGAATACAATTGATAAGGAAAGTTTTTCGATTCGACGCAGGCCATTTCGCAATACGGGAATTCTGCATTTGCGAGTTCCACCATTCCGCTGTTTCATTGTTCTGCGATCCCATGTGCTCTGCTAGCTCCTGTGTATGTCTCCCGGAGTTGGGGAGCTGCGACCTCATCTGTCGATGCTTTTGTTTCCTATAGTATGGTGTCAGGTTGGCCACGTTGAAAGTAGTGGAGTTATTTTAACTTCTCGATAAGTTAATCTTGTAGATGTTGTCATTCTAAAGCACATCCTGATTGAACAAGTGTCCATCATATTTTTGCACAATCTGAGTTGGAGCTGCATATAGTCCTAGATTCTAACAAAGTAACTCTAGAGCTATTGATTCTATCATGTGCCTCTTTCACTTGTGCTCTGCATGGTGCATATGGTAAACCAATTCGTCTGGAGGAACTAACTCGGGAATAAAATTTGTGGTCATTTGAGCAACTCTCAACAGCAGCCACTCTAGAGATGCTTCTTCTTCTTTGGTAGGACCTAGATTCTATTATAGAATTTTCTTTCCTACCAAGCTCCTAAAACAATTTCTAAAGCACTGGTTCATCCCTCATGCCTAGGCATCCATCAGTGGGTAAACTGCTAAAGTGAAGTTAATATTTGAATAACTTCATATAGTCTCCCAAAAGTAGCTCAAAAGTTTCTATCTCTGATATGTTGGTTCTCTCTCAGTAGGGGCTACTTAGTATATATGCTATACACATTTGAAATTGTGAAATTCTCTTATCTGATGTTCTACTATGTCTTTTAACGACTCCTTAAACTCATGCCCCATTTGGGCATCCAATGTTAGTCCTGTTGATACTCCTCTCAATACCTGTAAAAAGGTACCTCGAGGCACCACAACCTCCTACTCTGCATGAATGTCCATTACCTTAGAGTAACTCCCATTTGAGCAACTACCATTAACCCCGCTAATTTATATCTCATGGACTCGACTTGAATTATATGCATCCATTGTTCCACGATCCCGCGTGAACGCTTGCTCCGTTACATACACACCACCTAATTCCTATGTCTTTACTTATCTAACACTTGAACTTTGCTTTTCACATTTACCTCGAATCTTTCACATCACATAAAATATACCACCATTTGAACTTTTAAAATGTGATATACACCTTTTTATGTATAAGTAAGGTGTCTAGTTATCAGAGATGTAAATATACAGGAATTGAGTGGCATGTATGTAAATCTTAATGGAACTCCAGGAAGGGACCTTAGAAGAGCAACTAAACATAATGACATGTGATAAAATAATAAATTGACTCCACAAATCTATCTAACAATCTTACATGGTCAATTGTTGAACTTTGGGTCGTGCAATTTTTTATTTTTTTTATTTTTTGAGAAATTATTTATTCAGTGATGAAGCTTTTTTGAGTCTGTCTGGTTAATATTATCTGATATTGAACTTATCCCATTTCCATTGCAGCATCTGCGGCAGCTGGCCTGACAAAAACTGGTTGGGTTTTTGCGCTATTCTTACATCGATTGTTGCCGTTATAACCCTGAGAGGAAACATTTTGTTCTCTGGATTCAAACCTCACCTGAAGGAAGAAGCTGTAATTTTAATAGATGCAATGTATATAAGGATATAAAAATGCTGTTAACAGAAATATATATACATTTCATGGTCAAAGCCACAGTGGTGGCAGGCCTTCTGTCAATCTTTGTAGTGCGCCTCTACTTCCATGTACTTTTATGCAAAAATCAAGAAAAAAAGAGGGTTTTTTCGCTTAATAAGTAGAGGAAAATGTGATTGATATTATGATCTGTTTTTGCAAGCTGTTAGTTTGATCAAACTATGCCCTGCGTTTTATAGTAGATTTTCTGTTTTATTTTATTTTTTGTTTGCTAGTTTTTGGGAATTGTATGTATCTAGTAGGGGTGTAAACAAGCCGAACACGAGCGAGCCCAAACTCAGCTCGTGTTCGGCTCGTTTATATTTCGAGCTCAAAAAATATGTTAGTGTTCCGCTCGTTTGCTTAGCGAGTCGAAGTGTTCGGTTTGGGCTTGTTGCTTAGGGGAGCCAAACGCGAACCGTTCACTAACAAAGAGACGTTTTGACAACCTTAATCACGTGGCCATAAGATGTTAATGATTGGGGCAAATATTTTTAATTTATTATAAATCTTTATAGCCTTGTAATCAATTAAATTTTTTAAAAATACTACTCATCAAAGATACATATATATATATATATATATAATTTATAAGTAGTATATCGAGCCAAAACGAGCTGAATTTCGTGTTGTTCGTGTTCGGTTCGTTAACTTAGCGAACAAGCCAAACACGAGCTTCTTAACGAGCCAAACACGAGTTGTTCGCGAACAACGAGCCGTTTTGACAGCCCTAGTATCTAGTACCTCAAGTTTAGATATTTGAATTTATGACATTTTTGATGTGATGTTAAAATTTTGCATGGCATACATATAAATATGAATTTTTTTGTGTCGGATATGTGAATACATAAAAATTTTGTGGGTGTCGGATGTTACTATTATCAACTTTGATCTGTAAATAAGATGCATGTAGGTATAATAAATATTTTTCTCCAATACGCTTCTTATAATTTGCTATATATATATATATATATCAATTAAATTTGATTACATATATAAACTAAACTAGCTACCATGCTTTATGAAGACTTACAAGGATATCAGTCAATTCTTATGTATTTACATAACTGACGCTTATACATTAGTTTTTATATACATGTAAGTTTAAGTTTGCATGAAAGAAGTATGTTTCACTTGTTAAAATTAAAAATGATAGTATATTTTATGTGATTTGAAAGATTCAAGTGGTGTAAATGTAAAAAATTTAGTTATATATGTAAATACAAAAGAATTTAGTGGTAAAAGATCAAATTGCCCTCACAAGGGGCTCTCCATGTATGTAAGTGTATCATAAAAATAAAAAATATGGGTTGGCATTTTATTATGAATTTTGATATTCAAGTAAGAACTGTAAAATGAACGAGAGAATGTGCTCGATTTGTAAATAGCAATATTTGGAGTGCTATATATGTAATTGTCCTCTACAATTATTTATATTGCAAATCTGATTCATCAAAAGATATTATGTGACGTTAAATAAGGGTGAGCAATAGATAAGTGAACGATCATGAAGGCTGAAAGAGAGACACGCCAATCATATAAATTAATACTGATAAGTCACATATGTAGTAATCAGTGTTTAATTTTTTAATCATAAATCATGTATAGAAACTAGCATGGGACAGTTTCGTGAGTACATTGTAGCTCTTGATATTATTTTGTAAGGGAGAAATTGTTACGTGCGTATGTCTGAATGGGTTGTCGTGCGATTCAGAGTGGAGTGGTTGCAGCTGGACTGTCGTCTGAATATGCGATCAACGTGCGTAATAATTTTCCTTTGTAAGGAAACATGTTTAGGATTGATTGAGGCCATGAACCTAATTTGGTAAATATATGATTGATTGTTAAGTCAAAAAGAAATATGTATGCATTGAGGGTTGAAATTTTAAGGGATTTTTTAGTTATAAATATAAAAAAGTTGAGTCTGAGTGGAGTTTTGGCTCAAGCTTGAGCTCATAGTAGGCTTGAGCTCGATTGATCTTAATTAATTAATTAGTTCAATTTCATTTATAGATATCAAAATATTTAAATTTAATAATTAACATAACTAAAATTAATAAATCATAATCATATATCTTAATTAAACTAATCGGGCATTCTTGGCAAGCCCTCGAGTCAAATTAAGCGAAGCTTGAGCTTATGCTCGTAGGATAAATGAGCTCAAATTTGAGATTGAGCTTAAGCTCGTAGATAAACTTGGCTCATGAGCTTGGAATAGCTAGACTCAATTACACCACAAGTTTTAGTTATTTTCTTTCCTTGTATTAATATTTTATGTGAATTTTACTTGTATGTCATTATCTATATAATCACTCCTAGAGTCTAATTTCTATCTCCTTCAAACTTTTGATTCACATTCGAATCAATTTTTAACTAATAATTGAAATATATGTGAACTATTTGAAATTCAAACATATGGTCAAATCGAGCGTCTAGATGAGAGAATTCAACGAGCTTAAGATTACTCAATTTTGACATCATTAAGATATTTAAATGTCCACAAAACTCCATTCAACTGTGGGAATAAATATGTTTAGATTTATTTTTTATTTGCAGGGGAGACATTCCCAGACTTTATAAATAGATGCCTACTCTCTTCATAAAAATGGGACCAAGACCTTGAATCAGAGGAAGAGCTGGGCCTAGAGTTGTTTCAAGAAGAAAAAGTTGAATTCTAGTGTTGTCCTGGACCAAAGACCAGGCGAACACGACCTTCACCCTGCTCCCGCAGACTAGCGTAGACCACCACTTTTTGGCCATCGTCGATCATTGTTGATCGCCCCATGCTGATTGCAATGAAGCCTTTCTCAGAGTCATGATGTACGCCACAAAGTAACAAATCACCGTGCAAAGTAAAGACCGACGTCGCAAAATAAGAAAACTCTGTGCAAAATAAAGACCAATATGTCAGAGTAATGAAACACCATACAGAGCAATGCATTATTCTGAACACAGTGCAACACTCATCTTGAAAACAATGCATCAATGTCCTAACAACTACTCCCAACTGCAACTGCTCCTGATCGTCGTACAAGAATTTTTTTCTGCGTACGACCACTGTACTTTGGGAAATAATGTAACACCATCTCGCCTGTGGGACAATAACTTTTACGTATATTCATCAACTTATTATGGATCGTTCTGAATAGATTAAGCCCCATAGTTTTTTACTGTTTCAAGTTTTTCATATAAAAAACTTTTATCTCGATATATCACTTCAATTAGTTGTATTTGCGTTGGACTTCCATGCAACACTAAGACGCTAAACAATCATTCTAGCGCAACAAATCTTCCGACACACCTGAGTACTTAAATATAAGCGGTTATTTCTCATGAGAGTTTCGATGCATAATGAATTTTTAAGGATATTTACATAAATAAAATTATAAGAGAATATCTATGCAAGCAAGCTTAATAAGCACAATATGAGAGAATCAAAAAATTAAAAAAAAAATTATTGAAATGTTTTCTTAGCCACATATCGAACACTTAAAATTTCTTATTTAGTTGGATAACAATCGATTTTTTAACATCACATAATAATACCATTTATTAATTACTTTCTAGAAGTGAAGTATTCTTTTAATGCATAAATTCATCAAAACAAAGCATAATAAATATAAATATTAAATTTTAGATGTAAATACATAAGAGTTGAGTGGTATTTATGTTAAATCTTCCTTCAAAATATAACCACAAAAAACAAAAATCCAAACATCTAAAATCTCTTATTTCAATTCGACCATTTCATCTACTTCCCTCTCCCGACGAAATAAAGAGAAGCGACCCTAGAAATTGTCGGCTCATAGTGAGCTGAACTTCTCCTTCCTGCATCAGCCCTTCATGTCCCGTTCATCGTTGCCGGAGCAGTCGGCTTTTGGCTGATTCTTGGCGGCAGTTGCGAGCCATTACTTCACCTTCAATTCAATTCTATCTGGAAACCTAGAGGGTCGACATATACACATTCAAGGTACAATTTAGCCCCCTCTTTGATCTATTGAACTGTTATTCGTGAATTTGATTGTTTATATTTTAAATGTCCGCGCATGAAAATTAGGTTTTCTTGCGTTTTATTAAATGTTCTCATTTGAATAATCGCTTGATATTTCTAATTAGAGGGACATAGAAACACCAAAACTTTCATTTTACATTTCTACCACGAAAATCATTCATATCACATAAAAAATGCATTATTTTAATTTAAAAAAAAATGTAAAATGCACCTTTTCATGCATACGTAAGATGGGCATATATGTAAAAAATTAACGTTTATGTAAAAACATAGGAATTGAGTGTCATGCATGTAAATCTTCCTTTTAAGTAATGTTTGAAATGCTGTTTAGATAATGCCATAATCATACATTAGAAACTTGGCTTTCTTGATCTTTATAATACACATTTAGTGTGGGTAAGTTAGACATGTATTCTATGTGCATTTTTGTAAATCTCTTTTTGATTTGATTGAATTCTAGTATAAATATATGCATGATTTACATACATGTCACTTATTCCTATGTATTTATAAATCCAACCTTCAATTTTTGCATGCATACCATCTTACCTATGCAAGAAAAGGTGTATTTAACTTTTAAAATATTAAAATAGTGGTATTTTTATGTGATATGAAAGATCTCGATGGTATAAATGTAAAAAATAAAGTTTTGGTATTAGATACATAAATACATAGGAATTGGTTGGTGTCTATGTCAATGCCTTATATGCTCATGTTGATCTCTCTTTTAGCTTTGGAGAGGTCCTACCTTAGTTTTCACTAATCCAATGTATGTCACTACTTAATTCTATTGGAAGGCATCTCTTTGTACCAACATAAGGCTTGGTTTGAGGTTTCTTTATTTGGCATTTTGCTCCTTTTTCTTATTTCATTTGCATATATACATACTGGTTTGATAAATCAGAGATTTTAATTTGTTGTAAATAAATTTTAATTGTTTGCGGATTTTATATGTTGATAAATCCCTGCTTGATTTTTTGAATTATTTCAACCATTTGTTATCAGTTGAGTTTCAATTATTATCTATGTTTAACTAAAACTATTTTTTTATTTAATTGGTAGCTTGTGATTTATGAATGATGAAATTTCATTGCATGAATTCATACATTAGAAACATTAACGCTAAATTATCCTCAATCACTTTCCAGACAAGAGAGGCAAGATTGTTGGAGTTCAAAAGTGGTAGCAGAAGTCTTTTTTTAATTATTTTTAAATTCTATAATTCCTTCTAACGTGTTTAAATCTTAAATTCATAAAAGTAGTAATAGCCCCAAGAACCCATTTTGTTAGTGTAACTATTCATTTCTGGTTGTGCTAAATTTGATTATGATAGGAATAAAGGGAAAGATTTTCAACTTTATTGGAGTTTAGAATTAATTAGAAACTAAACCAAACCACGAAATAACAGGATCACAAAATATTCGAGAAAATCAGAGGATTTTCTGATCATTAGTGTCATCTATATCAATATTTCTGAATTCTTCAGAAGTAGCTGACAGGCTGTTCAGAGTTCTGATTCTGTTTTTGTACATCTTAATTTCATTGAAAGTGAATCACTGCTTCTGATAATTACAGAACTTATTATACTCAAATTCATCTGCATCATATCCAATGAAAGCGTACTTGACAGATTTTAAGTCAAGCTTGCTTTTGTACCATGCATTAATATGTACATATGCATAACTCAAATACTCTTAAATAAGATAGATATATCTTTTAGTCACTCCAGACTTCTTCAGGTAAGTCTTCCTCCAAAGTTACTGATGAATTACAGTTAATTAAATAAACTGCAGTGTTTACTATTTCAGCCCAAAATTATTTTGGCAACCTTGCATGTAGCCTCATGCTCCTAACACGTCTGTAATTTTCTGCTCATGCGCTCAGTCACATCATTCAGTTGTGGTGTCCTTGGGCAGTAAATTCATGTCTGACCCCCTTTGTAGCACAAGAATTATTGAACTTTTGATCATGGTACTCACTCTCATTTCCTGATTTGAGACACTTCAGCTTCAAACATCTTTCATTTACTACCATAGCTTTTCACTTTTTAAAGACTTGAAATACGTCAGATTTCTGCTTTAAAAAATAAACTCATACCTTTCTCGCATGATCATCAATAAATGTGACAAAATAGCGAGAACCTTCAATGGACTGAACTGGATATCAGTATGCACCAACTTAAGTTTTTGTTTATTTCACCACTGACGCGCTCTTAGAGAATGTAATTTTCTTTTGCAAGCTATATGCAATCTTCACAGAAATCCAAATCAACTAGTTTCAAACCCTGAAGCTTATTTTTAGAAAGTAGGGACTTCATACTTTTTTCTCGATAATATGGTCAAGCTTCGGTGCCACAAACCTGCATCAACGCTGATTCTAGCCACATCAATGAAATCAGACATTTCATTGATCGGATAATAGGTGCTTTCAATTTTGCTCTAAGTCATCACTAATGCCCCGTGATCACCTTCCACAAATCTCCTGTGAAACTAGTCATGAGTCGTAACTTACTAGCTAGCTCACAAAGATAAGATTTCTCTTCAAACTTGGAGTATGTCTAGTCTCAGTAAACTTTCAGATTGTTCCATTCGATAATCTGATATCAACATCAATATTTCCTACTCTGTTGCAGACTTTGTTGCCTTCTAAATAAACCTTCTATAGATCGCTCTAAGTATAGTTTTTAAATATATCTTTATTGGGACAAGCATGAAAAGAGGCACCAAAATTTACTATCCAAGATTCAGTACTGACTATGGATAAGACTAGGGATAATATTGGATTTTACCGGTAGAGACATTTGTAGAGAGATTCTTTTCCTGTCATCAACCACCAACTTTCATTGGAGCTTTGCAATCCTTTTTGAAATATCATTTCTTACCGCAGCTCCAACGTTCACTTCTTTTTGACTTGAGCTTTCCTTGCTTGGACTTGGATTTGCTTCTGTCTGTATTCTTGCCCATATTTTTTCCATTCTTATCAGCATTCAACGCAGAACCTGAAGATTTACCATTCGTTACTTTTCTGTAAATTCTTCATTCAGCATCAAACGCACGATGCAATCGAAGTTCAACTTCAAAGTCTTTGAAGAATTACTCACCGTTGTTACCAAACTATCCCATCTGTCCGACAATGAAAATAGTATCATCAGTGTACTGATCTCATCATCAAATTTGATCCCCACATAATACAACTGGCTTGTCACAGCATTTAAATTATTGAGTTGTTTTGTTATTGAACTCTCTTCCACAATCTTCATGTTGAATAACTTCATCATCAGAAAAACCTTATCGGAAACAGAGGATTTTTCATACATCTTTGTTAGTGCCGCCATGAAATCCACCATGGTTTTCTCATTTACAATGTTGAACGCAGTAGATAAGGAAAGTGACAATCGGATCAAATCCAATGTTGTTCAATTAAACACTTCTCATTCCTCCATAGACATAGACTCAAGCTTTTTGGTAATTCCTTGTAGTGGTAAGTATAACTTTTTATGATACAACAAATCCTCCACCTCCATCTTCCAAAGTGCAAAATTCGTCCCATTGAACTTTATTACTTTGAACCTTGCTTTTTCGACCATTGCTCTTACTCGAATCAAACCCCACTTTGATACTAATTTGATAGGAATAAAGAGAACAATTCTCAACTTTACTGGGCTTAGGACTAATTAGAAACTAAACCACTACATAGAATAACAAGACCACGCAAGATTCGAGAAAACCAGAATAAAATTTTAATGGAAGCACAATGAAAGCAACCAAAAAAAAAAAGAACACATAAATTTAACATGGAAAAAACCTGAGAACGGGAAAAAACTACGGAGCCACCCCACCAAGAAATTCCACTATGGAATTCAAAAAATTTTACAAAGAACTCACACTAGTTTCTTCTCTACACACAAGTAAACTTACAGGACTCGCTCCAAACCGTCTTACTTAAATCCGACATGAAAAACACACGCCGAGATCCCGATAATCCTCCTCTTCGTTACTTTCTCCTTCATCATGAATTTTTTGAAGAACTCGTACAGACACCACTCAAAATTGGTCTTAAAACCAAAAAATCGTGTCAACTACTTCGGTCTCTTAGTTGTGGGCGAATTGGCGCCTAAGTGCCAAGTTCTTCGCCAACGCCAAAACAAATTGGGCGCTTGGGCGCCGAAAGGGGACGGAAAAGCACCCCTCCCTTTGTTTGCGCCCCCATGTGGGCGCTAAAGCTCCCATAAGGGACACAAAAGTGCATTGGGCACTTCAGTGCCCAAAGGGGCGCAAAAGCACCCCATCCCAGTGTTCGGTTTTCTTGAGCATGTGTTGGTGCTTCAAATCAAGCTCCACACCGTACATATCAAAAGAATAAGTAGCCCTAAGAAGCCAATTTGTCATTGTATCTTCTTTTTTTCTTTTTTTTTTTTTTTTTTTTTTTTTTTTTTTTTTTGTGTTTCACCCATAGAAAAAGTTGAAAAAAATCAGACGTGTATTGATAAATGGTATTCCGAATCTTACGTGCAAAGGTTTAACCAGAAGAAGACATCAACTTTTATGTTGCAATGAAACATTTTTAAGGAATGAAATTAATATTTACATTTCATCCATGTTTACTAAAGATGTTGAAATGCTTTTATTGCATCTCTACCTGTTTTATACTAATGTTTAGTTTATATGACCGTATTTTTAATTAGCTTATTCCTTTTTTTTAGCTAGACAGAAGTATATGAATCAACATTCTAAAAATGTTTTATAGTTGGATGTCTTTGAATCAAAATGGAACTGCATTGTTAATTAACTCATTTATCTCTATACATCTTTTACTCTTTCATTTATTGTATTTTTTTTCTTAATCTTCCATCAGTTTTATCTCTATAATTACTCTTTCATCAAACTTGATAAATCAGTTATCATAATTTGGCACATTCTGGGAATGAGTTTGCCCTACACTTCTTCGCCAAGCCTTTCCAGTTTCCTCCCGAATGCCTTCCTAACCGGTCCAAATTCCCACATTTACCATAACAGGCTCGACATTTGTAAATATAGAGCAATCCTTCCACAGTCTTGTTTCCGCTCCCCTTCTTCATGCTTGTTTCATGGGAAGTTGATCACTGTTGAGGGAGCAGTAAATGGTGATGTAACAGAAGGATTTAAGCTAAAATGGCGTGAAGTTGGGCCCGACATAACCGAGGCTCAAAAACATGAAATATCTCAGCTTTCATTGACACTGACGAATCGTTGCAAAGCACTTCTGAGACGCATCATATGTTTCTCTCAAGAGGAAGATCTATTCGTTTTGTTAGCTTCATGGGTAAAGGCCATGCAACCTAAAAGATGTGATTGGCTCTCCGTGTTGAAAGAAATTAAGAGGATAGATACTTCTTTGTATTTTGAGGTATAGCATCATCCATCACTCTCTTTTTATCGCTTAATGCATTTTAATTTTCTTCTGCTATCGAGTTTCTTTTTACAATAGGAAAAGTTTAAAAATATCTGCAATTTTTATAGGAGGTTGATTTAGTCAAAACATTTTTGTAAGTGTCAAGTTAGTCTCTGGACTATTTTAATAGGAGCTAAAATATTCTTTCATTTAAAATAAGTTGACATTTTATTGTCTCATAGAAAAGAGTTTAGGTATTGAATTGACATTTTGGTAGACTCAAAAACTTGAGTAAAGTGCCAAAATAGTCCCCTATTTTAATAGGAACTATTTACATGGGGTCATTTTAGTCTCAGAGTCTATAAAAGTGTCAAATTAGTTTTCAGACTTTTTGAGTTTAGAGACTAAGTTGACAATTTATAGACTCTAGGATGAAAATGACCACCTACGAAGAATCAAGGGACCATTTAGACACTTTCTTCAAAACTAAAATATCCCACACTGCAAAAGTTGGGCTTATTTTGACACTTTTCTCCTTTTATAATAATCTTCTTGATCACTTGAAAGCTGAAGTATTTGATTATTTGCTTGTGGATTATACATGTTTTTTTTATTATGCATCTTAATTTTTATCATTAGTAGTGGTGTCAAAAATTGACATGACATGCCAACACGAATCGAACTCAACTCGAAAAATCCTAGAGTCAGGTTTATTCAAATATTTTTTGAGTCGGGTTCGGGTCAGTGAATTCGATCTGTTTATTATTCGAGCCAGGTTTGGGTTGAACGTGGTAACCCAAATATAACCCGAATAAACACAAAATTTCAGGCTGGGTTCATGTTAGCGGGTCAAGTTTGGGTTCGGAACTTAGTTTTTGAATCGCTTATTATTCGAGTTAGGTTTGGGTTGACCCTATTTGGGTTTGGTCATTTTTGTATCCGACCTGAATCCGACCTGAATTGACACCCCTAACCATTAGTTTGTTTTCTCTATTATAAAGCTTATGAACTTTCTATTTGTGATAATTCCTAATTTCCATACGTGACAAAAAAACCATTTTCATTTTAATGGAAAAACTTATGATTCTGTGTAGGTTGGATGTTGTTAGGTTATGTGCTCTGCTAATCTTGTGCTACTAAGGATCTGTTTGGGGCAGTTGCATCTTATTAAAAAGCTGTTGCGCAACAGCTGTGACAGAGAGCTACTTCACAGAAGCTGACTATCTATTTATTTTTGGAGTTTTGAAACAGCTATGCTGCAGCTATTTTTGGACAAATGATCTGTTTGCCCCTATACTATAATGATGTTTATAACAAAAATACTCATACTAACACATTTCTTACTTAAAAGTAAATATTCAGTTTGAATGTTACAAAATAAAACGCACCTCACAAAATAATTAGTAACATGACGATCAAAATTAAAAAAATATTAAAATAACATTAATAATATGTTAATATTGTTTTTAAAATGTAATTAGTTTATGTCACGAGATAAACTGTACTCTAAGGAAACTCGCCATGCCCGATCACTATCGACGGTGGATTCCTCCAACTCATCTGTCCACCTAAAGAAGTCATACCTTTCTGTTTTTCTCCACGAACACCTATAAAACTCTCTCGTAATTATTTGGCTATTGCGAGCTAAGCAGAGAACATGGTAGACCACAGTAGCAGTACAATGTTCTAGAGGTACCGGAAGTCCTTGAGCTCATCTTTTCTGAAGGTTTAAAACAACAAAACACAAATACTTCGATGCAAAAGTAAAAAAAAAAATAGAAGTAATTAATGCAAGTTTTTATTAGTTTAAGATTTCAAAGAACATAGTATGAACCAACGAATCTGTCACTATAAAAAAACAACAAATTTTATAAAAAAAATTGTACTTGGTTGCCCTTAAATCACATAATACCAAGCTCGTATGTGTCATATATGCATATCACCAAAAAAGATCATCCAGAAGAACCTCAAATGTTATAGCACTGAAAAAGGAGAAGAACTTGGTCGTCTTCTTTTGGATTTCATATATGAAAATAACCAATAACGAGATATAGGTCATCCAGAAGAATCTTTAAGGTCAAATGTCTCATCATATACCTCAAAAACCAAAAATAAAACATACAATAAAAATTTACATATTATATCCATGATTGCCTCATTAGTTTTCTAAGTGGGGAAAAATATATGCAAAAAAGCGAGAAATAAAATTGAGATTCAAAATATAGATGATTGGATAAAAGATCGATATAATGAATAATAAAAATTTTCACAACTTATTGCAAATAAAGTAGCGACAAAAAAAAAATACAATCAATCCATTTAACAGCCAACGATGACATCTGTAATCTGTTATTTCAACTCTGTAATCTTCCTCATCTTGGGTGCAAGTCTCAAGTAATTCATCTTTTATTTGTGATAAAAATTGTTCAAGACAATATTCATATGTTTTAGTAGGGACATGCGAATAATCTTCATCAGCTTTCTTGAAGTCAATGTCATTGCGCGAAGGATGACGCCGAATATAGTTGTGGATAATCATTGTGACCACCATAATATGCATTTGTTTAAAAAGCAAATATGTTGACATATTTTGCATTACGACCCACTTTTTCCACATTCTACATATTCTTTCAATGGCACCGCATAAGGACGAGTGTCTCTTGTTAAACATTTCTTTCCTATCCTAATTGACATTGTTGACTCTTTCAAAATCAAGAATGTGACTAGAAATGACTTTAGAAATCATTTCTGTAAGGGGTATCCGACATCGACCAAATAATATTTATCTGACATAAATACAATAATTAGTATTGCACTGAAAAAAATATTTAATCAGGGTTTCAGGTGGAGCAAACCTGGGGGTGGGTGGGGAAAGTTGTATTTCCGAGTTATTGTGGCAAATTTCAATATGCGACCATCGTGTGCACTGTCTTCTCAAGCAGCCTTAACAAAAGTAAAACACGTGTTGAAGTCATATACATTTATTATATTTTATGTTGGTGATTAGCATCGCCTAATGAATGTGATCTTTTCATATTTGATATACGTGCATCCAAATGTGTTTCATCGATCACTGCAATACAATTCTAAAAAATTTAACAAGGGTGTATAAATTATTGTATTCAGTTGAATTATGAAATTAATGAATAAATAGAATTATCTTAAAATATGATATATATACTGTGGTTCATATGCAATCACTATGAGAGTTCTTTCAAATATTGGGACATCTGGTTCTAATGGTAAACTGACTAGATCATTCAACCAAACTGAAAAATATCTACTAATTCTTTCAGATGAGTGCTGGAATCGCTTTAGGATACCTCTCATAGATTCATTCTGTGATTAAATATAGAAGGTTATTACTAACATTTCTCCGAAAGTCATCAAGGAGGGGCCGTGAAGTCCATGATTGATGTGTAGTTCTTCTAAGAGATTGATGAATATGGGATGTTATCCGGTACATATTAATAAATCTTGTTGAGTGTCCTACAAAAAACTCTCCAACCCACTTATCACCAATATATGAAAATATCATGCAATGAGAGCGAGCTATGTACAAGTTATAGTACACATACATCAAACACATCACAGTTGTAACTCTTCTTCCGTGTCTTTCTTTATATGCATCTATGTTAGGCAATCGCTTTATCAGCTAACACATATAAGAATCATCGAATTAGCTAATATCACTACATTTTTAAACAAACAACAATTATAAATACGCTTGGAAAAACAAATAACAAATTAATTGATGAAAACAAATAACCAAAGCAACATTAATAATATCCTAAAGAAAAGTAACTATCAAAAGCAAAAGTCAAATTGTCCTAATGAAAAACAAATACAAATAGTGCAACTAGAAATAATGAAATTCAAGCGTCTTTATTGTCATGAAAATAAAGTAAATAATTGACCCTACGGTTTGGTGTCATGTCATAAAAAACTCTTTACGACTTGGGTATTTCAATAACTTGATGGAGAACAAACATTACGACATGTTCTCATAAACTTCTGGAGTTGCCTCCGGAATTCACATAACTTGTTGGATTGAAGTTGCTTGTGATGTCCCAGGGTCATTGATGCATGAGGCAGCTAATTTTGAAATTTGGCTTCTAATGAAAACACATTTGCTTTTCTTTTTCTCAACCCTCAAATGCTTAGATTAGCTGATGGATTCAACTTCATTGAGGTTCGGGCTGAGACATTCGTTGGAGTCAGTTGTTCGTTTGACATCCTAGTTCTCAGCTATGCAAGCAAACCCTCGCTCACTAGGAGCCCATGCATGATCGCATGTTGTCACGACTCCATCAAACATATGATCCAATTTCTCTCTAGCTCAAGGTTAATGCTACTGAATTTAAATTGTTTTGTTGTTGACACCACCTACAAAGTAATGAGATGGATATGTTGATGTATTTGAAAAAATTAAAAAAAAAATAATTCTTATGGACATTTGATCAATTTTCACCACCAATCTCTTGACCCACTATTCTTTTGAAGTATCAACTGTTCGCTTTATATGATCTCAACCTAAATCTGTGGATCATCGTTTCAATTCTTTCCAAAATTTTCAATTTTTTTTAATTGATCTAATTTGTTTTTCAATTGCATCCCGTCGTATTCTCTTCTTGTAATTTTCTTAAACTTTTCATAATATTTTGTCAGCGCTCCTTATTAAAATAGGTTGTGGGTCTATTTTCCAATTTAATGTCCTTCAGACAGATATTGTAAAATATTAGTTTGATTTCTTTACATCACATAGCAGATGAACCGAGCTTTTTTTTTTTAACCATTATGTTACTAGCATGAAAAGAATTAAACAATATAAATATTTATCATAAAAAATAATTACCGCAACTCAAAGAAAAATAGAATTGTCATAATATCATTACCACCACCTCCGCATGACACACCACCATCTCCGCACCACATCAACACCACCCGACACACCACCTCCACATCACGCGCCACCACATCCACTCCACACCACCACCTCCACACCACCACACCACCAACTCCACACCACGCCAAACAAGTAGTGGCAACAAATTTTGAAAGCACAAGTGAAACTTAAAAACAAAATGAAAGTTGAACTTTGGAAAGCTCACCATGTCACATGAGCTTCTTAACCATGGAGTTTATTAACCATAAAATCAAAGGGCATAGCAACAAACCCCCAAGTCCTTTATAGGTTATTAACATCTATTTTATGAGTTTTATCCAAATATAAACAACACGTGAAATATTATTATTAACAAATTCAACACAATCTTTCATCCATTTTTCAAATTCTTACTCTCATGAGAAAGTACATAATAAAATCTCAACACTTATTCAAAATATACACAACACCCGAAACATTACTATTTACAAATCCAGCACCATTTTTCATCTATTTTTCAAATTCTCACTCAAATATCAAAATTTATGATAAAATCTCAATCCATATTAAAATATACACAACAGCTGAAAGATTGTTATTAACAAATCTAACACTAATTTTTATCCATTTCTCAAATTCCCATTCAAATTTTAGAGTTCATGATAAAATCTCTATAATTATTTTTCATTAACAAATCCAACACCAAAAATCAAAAATGACAAAGCCGCCATGAAAGTGTTTTGAGAGCTATGTATGTAATGTAATTATCACAAAACAAAAAAAAAAGTGCAAACCACAAACCATGCAAAGCAAAGATACCGGCAAGCACTACATGGGGAGCTAGGTATGTAATTACACTAATAAAACCACAACGAACAGAATAAATCCACAAACTAAATAGACCGAAGCTATCGTGAAATCAATAATACCATAACGAAACTGAAATCACAAAGCACAAACCAAACAAATTCAAAGCCACCGGAAAATTGAGAAAAATAGATGTTTCTGGTGCTATGTATGTAAAAATCCCAAAACGAATGAGTTTATGTGCAAACCATATACCTAACAGAGCAAAGCCACCAAGAATAGATGAGGGGTAGAAGATACCGGAAGAAGAAGGAACCAAACGCCAATTTTTCCTTGTCACGGGTGTCAGAGAATGAAGAAAAAGAAGGGAAAGGAGAAAAAACCCTAGGCACGACACATGCGAGACGAGATCGAGCGAGGGGACACGGGACTAATAGCGAACTGAAGGACGTAGCAAACATAGGAGACAGGTCGCGGCTCAAATTATCGAACGTGTTTAAGGAAACTCGCCCGCGTCTCCCTAATCAAACCCCTGGAATCACGACACCCCATCGCGTCGCAGCCCCGCCGCTGCACCATAACAGACCATAAATGGTTTAGCTGTAACATAGTTACATATTGGCTTGATAGGAATGCCTTTTAGTTCTTCCAAGAAGGCCTTAGCTTTTAATTCTCATGGTGTTACGAATTCGATCTTATAATTTATCTGCCACTTGAGGTAGGGTTCGCAACAAGTACTATGAAATCAAAATGACATTATAGTTTTGTTTGGTTTGTTGAAAAAAAAAAATTTACAACGTAATTAAAATATAATTTATTTGAAATATTGTAGAATTGTTTGACTAGGTGTAAAATAAATATAGGGGATTACTTTTTTTTATTTAGGTTTGAAATAAAATGAAATTAACATATAAAATCTAGCAGCAGCTGCGCACAATTGGTGGTGTTATCAATGGTGGGGTGGTCAGACAGTGGTAGGGGGGGGGGGCGGGGGGCGCCCGGGGGGGGGGGGGGCCACCACCGGAGGTGATGGGGGTGGTGGTGCGTTGCCATAGCTTCTACAATGTATTTGGACATGGCCGAATCAATCTGCTTCTATATATACCAAATTTGAACTGAAAGATTACAGTGCATTTCATTTACATTTGGCCAAACTCCAAAATGTAGAAATCCTCTGAATTTGACAAAAGGGTTTATTTCATATATTTTTCTTATGAACTCAAATGACAGGTCAGTTCTTGATATTTACCAAATTATATTCAAAATCAACTACAACTATAATTTTTCCAACGGTCATTTTTTAAATTAAGTGCAGAATAAGGTAGTGAAAAAGGATCCTACAGAGGGAGAAAATTTTACGTACGTCGTGGGATCCTACAGAGGGAGAAAATTTTACGTACGTCGTTCGCACGTGAGCTAAATACGGAAGACGGACGCGATACACCAATGAGGTGTTTTTTTTTTTTTTGCTAGTGCACAGCATCAGTCGTCCGTATGTAGCTCGCGTACGAAAAAAATGGAATTTTGTTATTCGGGCGTTAAAGAGTTTTAATAATGACCTTTTTCATTGATATGCATGAAAAAATCAAAATTTAGCTCTTACATTCTTAAATACATAAGAATTGAGTGGGGTATGATATGTAAATCTTCCTTTACAGCTATTTGATCAGAAGGAAAATTTGTTCCATCTTACCAGGCCATAGAGTACGCCCTCCATGAAGAATCATTCGAAGCTAATGCTCGCGACTACACCAAGCTCATCGACGCCTACGCGAAGCACTATCGCTTCTCCGACGCGCAATCGACATTTGAATCCATGAAGGTCCGAGGGTTCCCCTGCGATCAAGTCACCCTCACCGTCCTCATCAACATGTACGACAAATCCGGCGATCTCCGCCGCGCCGAGGAAGCCTTCCAGCACATCAAGCTGCTGGAATCCCCAATCGACAAGCGATCTTACGGATCGATGATCATGGCGTACATTCGAGCGGGAAAACCGGAACTCGCGGAAGCCCTGCTGAAAGTCATGGAGGCCGAACAGGTGGTTGCGGGGAGAGAGGTTTACAAGGCGGTGTTGCGGGCGTATTCGATGGCCGGAGACGATGAGGGCGCGCAGAGGGTGTTCGATGCGATTCAGTTTGCGGGGATCGTTCCGGACAGCAGGATCTGTGCGCTGCTCGTGAATGCTTATTGCGTGGCGGGAAAGATCAAAGGAGCTCGGAGCAGTATAGAGAATATGAGAGCGGCGGGATTGAAGCCGAATGATAAGTGCGTTGCGGTGATGCTTAGGGCTTACAGAAAGGAGAAGAAGATGGAGGAAGCTTTAGATTTGTTGATGGAATTGGAGGGAGATGGTGTGGTGATGGAGAGTGAGGCATCGGAGGTGTTGGCTCAGTGGCTTAGGGGGCTTGGTGTGATTCATGAACTAGGGCTTGCTCTTAGATAGATAGTTTGTATATATATATATATATGTATGAAAAATTATTGCAGTAGGACATTTGATGTAAATTTGCGTAGGTGTCCAATTAAAATTAGTCAGGTGTTAAGATGAGTCATATGCATTTAAAAAATAATCAATCAGTATGTTTCAGTGGAGTCCACATTTTGATGTGACCAATTTTAATTATACACTTTGCGTCAAGTGTCTGATGCAATAATTTCTCATATGTAATGAGTTTTTTATTTTTGAGGGATTGACATGCATCCCACACATTTCTCATGTATTTACATTATAAAAAATTAAATTTTCATGTTCTTTTTTATGACATTTTAATGTTGTAAATCTATGCTAGAAAATATGTATTTCAATTTTAACAAGGAAATAAGATCAAGGCAATTAATTTGTGAAAATGGTTGAATTACAAAATTAAGATGATTTACTACAATTAAGAAAGTGAGCAAAAAATGAGATTTTTTTTTCAAATTAATTCCTTTTTGGGATTTAATGTCCCATGACAATTATATACTATTTCAAATGAAGGTGTTAGCTTTTTCAACCTCTTATTCTTAGTCTCATAAACTTGTACATTCTTGAATGAAATGCCATCATAATATGAGTTAAATATTTTATCTTTTATGAAAATGAAGGTTAGCTCATGATTAGCTTATGGGATGTAATCTATCTAATTTTAGCATAATTATTCCTCTAGATTTGCAATCTACTTGTGAACTCTTGCCCACAATGATGAGCACATTTTTGGGCGACTTTGTAATTATCCTTCATATTGAGTTGTTGCAACATCAATAATTTTATTAATACAAAACTTATAATGATTTCAGATTATTTTTCTATCGCGGTCATAAATTTTATGATGGTAAAATACTTTCAAAATTTTAAAAGCTCTTTTTCTAGTTCTTCTTTCAAAATAATTATCACGACAATCTTCATTAAAACCTTTCACAACTCCAATAAAATTTGCAATTGTATCAACTGCAACATTTGCTTTACTATCATTTATGATTATATCATTATAAAGGTTAGAGCTAGAATTTATATTTAATAATTACAATCAAGAAGTAGATGACATGAATTATTAAAACTATAGGATGAGGGCGCATATATGCATAAAATTTAAGATCATTTCAATAGGGAGATAGTTCTCTACCACATTAATAGCAACAATTATTATTCGTGTGTGTGTGTGTGTGTGTGTGTGTCTTTAAATGTTATAAAAAATATAATTTGTTATATTTTATGTAATTGTTGAATCATTTTAGGATGTATGATCTCATATTGTTCAAGAGTACATACAAATAGTAAGAGATATGTGTATGGAAGATGTAAACGAAGAGATTGGATGTATTTTTCTAGAAATGAATTCTTAGTTCTTTCGATAAGCACCTCCAGGAGAATTGAGAGATGATCTGGGAGATGATAGATAAAGAGAGAAAGAGAGTCAGAGAAACAGAGAGATCCCTCATTCTCTTGCCTCCCCCTAAATACATAGAGATGAGAAAAATCAATTAGTCGCACAATATGAAATTTGTCAATGGTGTTCTGATGAAAATATGGCGAGGTGGATACCAGGCAACTCATAAGTGGTCATTAATTGATGTTAACCCTTCAATGTTAAGCCTTACTTTGACCGTCTGAAAATCCCTAGGTCCACTGGCTGGGTGAATTACTTGAACTTGTTTGAGGAGCACGACTTGACTCCCGAGAAAGAGGAAACCTCAAGATGACATTTCGACACTTGAAGTTATATAGGCAAGTCACTCATGTAGGTCAATCCGACGAAATAGTCCAAAAAGTCAATTCGTCAGGCGGTCTCAATGGGCCCACTAAGTAGAAGAATGTGTGAGTCGTGCCTGGTGATGCGAAAGGAATCTTGCATTCCTCCTAAGCTCTATTATCTATAGAATAGGCCAAGATGGTCTATTTACCCTGTCGTTCGCCCGCCCAATTATTCATGAACAAGAAATTTTCTTTGATTTTTACTCATGATGTTATATTCATGCATTAAAATCTAAAAAAAAAAAAAACTTGCAAATTAGATAAAATAACTCTGTTATCATGCTTAATGAATGGACAAACAATAGCATTAACACATTCTTTTGAACTTAAGACTATGGATTTTGACATAAAAAATGTGCCAAATTAAGAAAGTAGAAAATATGTAAATTAATAAATATAGTCATAAAATTAAAGAGAAAGAGAGAGAGTTATGGTATTGGAAGCCCTTATCAATCATGACCTTCTTCAGTCATTTTGTCATTTAGATTTAAGAAGATCTAATCATAGATTGCTTCAAAATGCATCAAATACAAGTTGAAGGAGGAGAAGAATAGAAATATGCTCTTCCTATGTAAGCATTTAAAAGCGAAGAAACTCAAAAGCTTGAGAGAAAGGGTGAAATTGTTAAAAACAAAATAAGACATGCGAAATAAGAAAATGTCATAAGGACTTTTGTGACAATTTTATCATTACTATAGTTTTTGGGTTTCCATCACATTTCTATTGGACTATTATTTTCTTATTGCTTTTTCCTTTTAATTTTATGATACTATAACAAATTGTTTTTCAACTTTCTCAAAAAATAAAAATAAAAATAAATAATAATAATAATAATAAAATAAATAAAAACTAAAAAATCACCACTCCTTTTAAAAAAATTGTTTTTCTTATAAGCTTTATAAAATTTGACCCGATACGCCAACTCGTTCTGAGCCCGGCTGAACAGATCTGGGTTTGGGTTGGGCCAATTAATTTGCAGGTCGGGTTTGGATTACATATTCTAACTCATTTAATTTTTCAGATCGGGTTTAAATTGACCAATCAACCCGAAATGACCCTCCAACTCTAAATTAACTTGGAATCGATCTGCTAACACAATATTGACCAGAAATTGGCTTTATTTAAAATTTAATAACTGTTATTCCTTATGTTAAACGAGTTATACTGGTCGGGTAGTTCGAGTTGGCGAGTTGAAGGCGGGTCGGGTTAGTTTGTCATACTTGAACACGACCTGCTGACCAAAATTGTCACTTCAATAAAAAATTGGGAGTTATCTCAAATAGATCCTAGGCGAATAATTATGTATATATTACATTAATGATTATTGTTTAAATTATTATGTCCTATCTTTTAAATAGAAATAAAAGATTTGTAAATTATGAGTTGAGAAATTACAAAAAGTATTATTTTTTAAATTTATAATTAAACAAAAATAATTGATCAATTTTTTTTTTTAAAATATAATTTAAAATATTAGAAAAAAGCTAATAAAATTATGATTTAAAAAACAAAATCCAGAAAAACTGTCACTTCCTACGAAGTACATGAGATGCTAATTGTACGAACTTGTCTTAAAATGCAGCAAAATAAAGCTACATGATTATTTTGTTCTCGCCTCAAAACTAATAATTTATAAAAATTATTCAATTTTAAAAGAATATTAATTATATTATACCAAAAAAGGTGCATATATTTTAAGTATTTATATATAAATATTTATTCTAATATATGTACTAACAGGAAATATTTTCCGCTGAGATGGAGAGAATATTACGTTCGCATGAAGTACGTGCGAACACGGATATTCAAGTGGTATTTATGTGATATCTCACTTCAATACCTCCTCAATACTATTAATACTAGGGCTGTCAAAAAAGCTCATTGTTCCCGAACAGTTCGTGTTTGGTTCGTCAATGAGTTCGTGTTCGATTCGTTCGATAAGTAAACGAGACAAATGTGAACCAATTTTTTTCGTTCGGTTAGTTAAACGAACTAAACACGAACAGTGATGCGTTTGTTCGTGTTCGAATCGTTATTGTTCGAAATATACAATAATTTAAAATAATTATATATATATATATATATTGATATTTAAAAAAAATAAATTATATAAATTATAATATATAATAAATTAATAATAACGTAATATACTAATATAATATTATATATTTATATAATATAAGTTATATAATTAATATAATATATTATTTATATATATTAATTTTAGCGATGTCAAATTGGCTCATTGTTCGAGAACAGCTCGTGTTCGGCTCGTTCGTTACGAAACGAACACGAATAGAGACTTCCCGAATAATTTCGAACATTCACGAATAATTTCGAACATGAGCTTATTTCAAACAAACTAAATTTCCAACGAATCAAATACGAACACAAGCTCTGTTCATTCGTGTTCGGTTCGTTTACACCCCTAATTAATACCACACGAATACCATTGATCTGCAACTATCTCATCCGCATGTTAATATTGTTCGAATGAGGTGAGCTATGATGGTAACAAGACTATTAAATTATTCAAAGATTTACGCACGTATCACACAATATTTTATGTGGTTCGTCGCTCTCAGTTTGTTAGTCTATGGGGGCAGGGGATGCTTTGTTTTATATCTTCTTTTTGTTTGGCGAAGTGGGGAAGCATTTTATGTTGCACTATTTTCTCCTTGCTGGTGTTTCTTTTGGATGGGGTTTGTTGCCTGGTATGCACATCTACTATATTCTGTGACCTTGGTATCTTCAGACAGTTGTCTGTGATTATGGCGCAACTAGTGGAGTCCTTTAGTTTTGCTTGGTGTACATGAACTTTGATGTATGTAGTGATATATGATAGTTTTGGGTTTTGCTTTCTTCTAACCATGTTTCCAGATCCTGTGCCCTTGGGTTAAGGTGTTTGATGCTTCGGTTTGGGGACTTTTTTTTTGGTATGTTCTCTATGTTGTCGAGAACCTTTGGTTTGGAGCCTTTCTCTTTGCGTGTTATTTTTGGTACAAGTCTCGCTTTTTTGCCTCGAAAGATCCTCCAAGCATAGGCTCAAGCGTCTCCGATTTTCTAGAGCACCTCCCGACTTTGGATTTTTTGGTACGGATACCTGGGTATACGATTTTGTATTTAGTTTATTGTTTTGGTTATTTTTCTTTTTTGGCGGATCTTGCGTGGAGTTGTATTGTGGCCGAGGAATCCCTTATGGGTGTGTAATATATCTTTTTTTTTGGATTTTTACCACCATCTTTGTACTTAACCTTTGTGATTAAAATGTAGGGAGCCGAATAATGCTCATTTCCTCAATATATATATATATATATATATA